TACTAAGAATAACAAAAGCAGCCAGTATATACCCTACACGTAGCGCTATTTAAAACTGCGAGTAAAAATAAAATATAATATAATAAAAATAATTATCCTCATTTGATTTTCGCTAAGAAGCAGAAAGAGTTCACTTTTGTTGTATTGGTGCCAACAAAGCTGTGGAGAATAGCGTAACATTGCAATCGGCGCTGCCCACTACGGAATGACCTCATGCATAATCACATATTATATGACAACATCGTACTCGCTTCAATGGGATTTTAGTTTTGAGCTCACTAATAATAACATTAGGCTATATATCACATACATAACACAGGGTGTTCCAGAAGTCTTGGAACTTTTCAAGTTCTCATATCTTTTGAACTATGAATGGTAGTAAGATGAAACTGGTACCATTTTAAAGCTAAATTCATTAAGTTTTTTGCAATGCTAATGATTTTTTCATATTTTTTTTCAGATACAGTAATGACCTTCAATCAACCAGAAAAGGCGTCTTGCGTCCTTGAATTTGCAAAAACTGAAACATGGAGACTTGTTCAACGTGGATTTCGCACAAAATTTCGAAAAGAGGCACCAGAAAGGAAGTCCATATTGAGATGGCATAGTAAATTCATGAAGGATGGGTGTTTCTGTGCAGCTAAGAGAACGGTACACCCCTCAACTTCAGTTGAGAGAACTACCTTCAAGCGGGGCCCCCGTAAATCTATCAGAAGTGCTAGTAAGGGACTTCAGCTTCCTACAAAAACTGTTTGGCATGTCCTAAAAAGACTGCACATGACACCTTACAAGCTACAGTTAACCCAACAGTTGCAGGACATTGATAAACTAGTTCGTTTTGACTTTTACATTGCAATGCTAGAAAAGTGGGAAGATAACAGATTGAATATGTGCCGTGTGACCGACAGTGCTCATATTGAACATTCTTTGAACATTCCATGTAAAACTTGAGATAAAATTCTTTCAGAATATGTCAGGGGCGTTTTTATAACCTTAATAGTTTTCGAGATATTCAATGTCAAAATGTGCTCAAGACTTTTGGAACACCCTGTATTATGGTTTATTCAACACCGTACGTCGCAAAGAAATATTGTTGGTGTGTGGCTTTTCGAACGTTGATTTTTCGTCTGCTGAGAATTTAAAACGCTCGAATATTTACATTACAACAGAGTGGTCAAAAGTGTGTACAATCTGAACGCATCTGGGTAACCTCCTGTTTATCAAGTCCCGGAAATCTACAGTGTGAATCTACCCATTGTGTCAAAGTGACCACTTATCTGGTCTGTTGTGACACCGAGTTCAACGTGAATTTTGGTGTCAAGTGTCCGTATATAATGGCCACATTACAGATCAACTTCTTATATAATAAAGGTAAATTTTGGTAGGCAATTCTGTTCACACCATTTAGTATTTCCCGATATTAGTCGCATATTACATTGCTCTACAGCTCTATTAAAGCAAGAAACTGACTGTCGTCATATAGTGTCTGTTCCCATGTCACACTGCGTATAACATTAAATGATATATCTTCGATTATCAGCGTTCTTCCCTATACATATTGCGTATTTTAAATAAATTATATATATATATATATATATATATATATATATTAGAAATTAACTGATTTAAAATATGGTTTCTTCGCTACACAGGAATTACCATGTTTCAAAAACAAAGCTGAAATTAAATCAAAAGCATTACTTCTGTTTCATCCTCAAGCGAATTTTGGATTAACTTATTTTTAAATTTACTGAGTTTTAAACGCACATATAATTCGTAATTTCTTGTTTCCAAGGATACAGAGGAATCCAATCATTCAGACAGGAGCGGTAGCGTGTTCATTTTTATTAATTATTATTGCACCAATTATGAGTTACGTTCGAAAAAGAGATTAAGTCTAGGTAGGGTAGGGGTGAATTTTTCAACGAATTTTGACATCCGTTCAACGCATGTCGTCTGTTTTTTGTTTTTTTTTATTAAGGGCAAAAGGTTTTTCGGCATCTTTTTCCGTTAAATTCGTACTTGTATACTTAAAGATTCTTTCTAAAAGTGATGTTTGGGTTAGAATACATTATATTGAACTACAATTTCAAAATATTTTTACTCTTAATTAATTAGTAATTAGACTATATTTCTTTTTAAATCAAGTAAATGTAATAGAATTACTTAAATTATTTAAAAATTATTATTTCATATCCATTATAAGTATGTATATTACCAGCTCCCATTTTTTTTTTAAATTTTGTTTTATTTTTAAATATTATTTAAGGAAAATTTTTGACAATGTTGGCAAAGAATATTTATTTTATTTCTTTGGTTCAGTAAATTTCTATTTTTTATAAACTTAGTATTATATATTTTCTCATGTATGCACAAAGGACATGGGACATTTAATGACCTACATATTCTAGCTTTTCTTATTAATTTCCATTTTACTGAAGGTGATTTATTGAGTTCTTTTAAGTGCCAGAAATATTTCGATAGGGACGTCTGATTTTATTTATTTATCTATCCAAAATGAAGTTTGATGTTAATTGAACCTCTTTTTGAATTTATGGTTTGTGCAACCTATATAGATTTTTATGTTTTCGGGATTCTCTCTTTGGTTTTGGTCTAAGGGTTTAATCAAGATATTAGCATTATGTTTCTTAATAATATTCTCTAAGTTTTCAGTACAGATGTAACTTAATTTTAGTGTATTTTTATTGAAAATAGTACTTAGTTTACTATCTTGAGGAAAATGCTTAACGATTAATGCAAGGAATTTTTGTCCTAATTTGTTCTTTACCATTTGGTTGTATGGGGTTGTATACCATATTATTTTTCTACTTCTGTTTTTTTTCTATGCTTTCTATTTTCTTTTTTTTATATAAGTTAGTTTTGGGTTTTTGAAGCCACTATCTTTTAGAGCTTTATTATAGAATTTAATATGTTCATAGAAAATCTTCTCATTTGCTGAATTTGTACTTATTCTTTTTTCGATAGATAAAGGTATATGCTTAATTATAGATGTAGGGTGATTAGAATCTGGGTGTATATATAAAGGATTGGCATTGGGTTTTTGTCTAAGGTATTATAAGGTATTTCATACATTTTTCATTAAATCTAATGTTATATCAAGGAACTTAACTTTTTTTAATTTAGTGCTTACTGTAATTTTTATGTTCAGACTTATATAATATCTTTCTAATTTTATCGATTTTAAAGTTAGTAGAGTTCTTTATAACCCTAAGTCCATCGTCTCTGTACAAACCAATGACAGTTATGTTAATTTAACGGTACGCTATGAGATTGTTATATAAAAATAACCCATAAGGTCAAAGGACTCAGCTGAGTCTAGTGACCCCATTGTGATGTCAAAGTTGTCTTAAGAATTTTTTATCCATTGCTCATCTTTATGTATCAGTACCGATTTTTTCGCATTTATAATAATGCTCTTTTCTTCTGTAATATCCGTGTACTGGGTAGCAAAGTCCAACGCATTCATGAACAGTACTTTAGATATTGATTGATAATAATTTTCAATATCAAACTGCCTTAGTTTACATTGGTTTATACAGAGACGATGTTCATATATGAATTTAGCAATAACAACATAATTCCTTTTCTTGATATACTGTTAGACACTTATAATAATATATTTACTTCCTGCCCATGTAAAAATCTAACTAACATAAACACGTAAACTCTCAACTATAAACTGAATGTTCTGACTATTACAAAACAGCGAATATACAAAATGTAATCAACTGTACAAAAGTGAACTCTTCCACAAAAAATATTCTACACTGAATTAAAAAAAAATAAACGAACTTTTTTTTATAATGACTTTCCTAATTACATTGTTGATGAACAAGTTAGACGAACTATTAGAAATATTAAAATTAACGAATAAAAAGTAATACTTCCTCAAATAACCCTAAAGATATCAATCTACTCTAACGCAATGAAATGCACTCTAACTACCAACAAGATGAAAAAATCCTAAAAAAATCATAAGTACTAATATATCCCGATTGATCCCAATAAAAAAATAAAACTAATTATATAGTATACTAAATTTAATACAACCAACTTAATCATCCGCAACAACTCTTCTCCGTCGACTAATGTTTTTTAAATTCCCAACATTGGGTATCTATTAAAATGTCCTTAGCGAGATTTTATCTCTGACAAAATATATATATATATATATATATATATATATATATATATATATATATATATATATATAAATGATGTCCAGCCAGGCGTGTGCGATCCAGCTGGCTTTGTTTCAGGAAAAAAAAAATATATCTTGCTCAAAAAAACAATTATCTTTTTCTTTTTCTTTTCTTTCCTTAATCGCAGCTCTCACCTTCTCTGGCCGCCAACAGAACAATGCGACCAGTAGTGTGATAACCTCAATTCTTCATCTGGACCTCGTCAGTCAGATTCTCGCTAATTATCAGAATGGGTGGTCGACTAGCACAACACAGTTGACCGTCGCCTCGAAAAAAACAGTTCCATTGTTCTAGTCATTCTTTGGTGCGAATTTCTGATAACATAGTTTTGTTATCACAACCGAAGATGTCTTGTCAAAAAACGGTCAGCCGTTACTTCGTGTGCGGCTTAGCAGACGACACTTTAAGTTAATTTTTCTTATCTATCCCAAGCCCTGTATTTCACCTGTTCTTTGTCAATTATCAAAATAACATTTTCAATTGGAGTTTTCTTAGTTAGTCGGTCTGTGGTTTGCTAATTAGATGTTTTGCCAGCATTAAGCGGCTGTTATCTATCCCCGATAACACAAGTTCGTCGCCAGAAGATAGTCGATTCCCTTATCCACTTAGAATTTTTCTGCGATTGTAATGACACTTTTCGCCATTTGCTACTTATCAAAATAACTTATATTTTTTATTTTCTGAGCATAAATTATATAGAAATTGCCCGAATGTTCTTCATGTTCGAGCGCTTTCGGCTATTCTTTTAGCCCTTGTCAAGGATGATTCAGCTTTTACTTTTGGCATACATATTTTAATAGATAGATAGATAGATAGATAGATAGATAGATATTCATTTATATTTGAAATATAAATATTAAGTTTAAATGTTAAATTAAGTTTAGGTCTGACTGGCATAATAACGAAACTTTACTCGCCCGCATTTTCTTATTAATTATATTTTAAATAAGATGTTATGTAGCTATGCAAGTGTACGAGCGCTAGACATTACCTAATAAAGTCAACTGAAAATTCTAACCAAAGAGTGGTATTTTATTCTTATTGTTTGTATAAGCTGATTCTTTACTAATTTATAATATATATATATATATATATATATATATATATATATATATATATATATATATATATATATATATATAAAATGGGTATAATAGCAAAATTGTCCAAATAGTGTAACAGCATGAGATAGCTGTCCATCGAACAAAATGTTTAATATCTAAAAAAATCACTAATTAAATTTCTTTTTTTCCAGGTTTTCAGATAAGACGTTTAGACATCTTAATACCATTTGTCGTAAGAATCTCTGAAAAAACTTTGTGTTATTCAGCTAGAAAAGTATAAGTTAAACTCGTTCCATGTCCGTCCCACTGTCTTCTCAAATGACCAATGATGAGAGGCATTCAGGCCTTCAGTAATGATAGCAATATTCATACTCTGGCTTCCATCTTCAAAGTCAATTCAAGAAGAATCAAGAGAAAGGTGAATACGTTTTTAAAAAAAGAGAACAGTGGAGAGAAAATCTGGATCAGTAGGTTGCAACAGGAAGAGGGATCATCATTTTTAACTTATAGCTAAATATATCAATTACAAAAGATTTAACTCAATCCATTATAGGTCTGGTAAATGAAAGATGAGTTTCAGCTATGACAGTACAAAGAACATGAGAAAAAGACTTGAAAATGTAATCGTACGTGAAACATGTGAGGAAACTTATTATTCCAAGACATAATGTTAGAAGGTTAGAGAGGACGAATATCATCTTGATTAAGATGGAAAATGGTCCTAGAATAATATATATATACCTATATATTTGAACTCAATTTCAATCCTTCACAAGGTTTCGATCTTTAGCTATGAGTAATGATGAACATATCATTTTCATTTATAATCGATTTCATCGCGATACTTCTCTTAAGTTTAGAGAGTAATTATACATACTCATTGCTCAAAGTAAAGTCCAATAGTGTTATAAAAACCTCTGAGATTTCCAATAAGACATCTTTAATCATTTTCATAAAACAACGCTTCAGAATTTAATCTAACAATTGGAGAGTTTTGCTATTACACGATTTGGACAATTTTGCTGTTACACAAGGTGTATCAGAATAAATTTTATCACTGTAAAACCACAAACACCCAACCAGACATATATATATATATATATATATATATATATATATATATATGTGTGTGTGTGTGTGTGTGTGTGTGTGTGTGTTCTAAATAATGATAAGTAATTACTAGATTCAGTTTTGTCTGTTTTGAAGAAAACTAATGATTCACAGGCATTTCAATGAAAGCCTGAAGGAACACAGACGAATACTGAATTTAATTTGTTTATATTAAATTATGAAACTTATTATTTATTCAATAATTTGTTCGGAACAAGATTCGCAACTTTGCTGTTTTCACACAACGTTTCGGTCGATAGATTCTGCGACAGACTGCCGAGATATCAAGCATTATATATCCTACATATCCTCATAATCTGTACTTATTCCCTCCCCCATAAAACAACTTCATTCATGAACACTACTCTTGTGTTGGCCAAACAACAAAATAAAAAACATAATGACGTATCCATTCCTAAGACGATTACAATTTTCAAATACTTTTTCGATCGACAAATTCTAGGACATTACTCTGGTTTATAAAAAAATATAAACGGTACAAAAATGTCAGGAAATATATTCAGTATTTGATAATAAATATTTCCACGGAGATTATTCGGTGAATTTTTTTCTGTCTTTAAACAACTTTGGGAGAAAATGATGATGTTTTACGAGATTGTCATGAAAAAAGTTGTTAGTGATTCTAACACACATTAAATCACACAAAAATTCTGTCACGGAGTAATATTTATCATTCGCTAATGAGTTCGATTTTCATTTGTCCATAATTGAACATGACCCTGTGTCTGTTTGGGTAATGGTTCATTTGAACAAATGAACACATATGTTCAAATATAATATTATTTCTGTTACACGACGACGCCTCCTTTAAACAATGTCATAATAATAGACAAATGTCGACATTTAGGATACGAGGAAGTTGTTTAAATGACGCAGACATAAATTGTCATAATAAACTGAATATAAATTTATATAGGTTAGTCAAGAAAATACATCCTTGCGGCAGCCACGAATTGTGTGATATTTTAAAAGACTTGTATTCTTGGTTCAATTCCTTTGTCTCCTTTGTCCAAAATTCTGAGAACATTACACGTATATAAAGAAGGCTTCCAATGAAAGTTCCCATTCTTAATGTTTTTAAAACTACGCATTGGCTGTTACTTTCTAACGATAAGTTTTATTCATTGGAAAGATATTCAGAAGAGCATTGCGATTTCTTATTGCTAAATTTATACAAAGTTGTTTGACTGTTTTCTTTAGTGTTTGGTTTATAAGTCAGTCTTTTGTATTCCATTATCTATCTATCTATCTATCTATCTATCTATCTATGTCAGCATGTCTGTCTATCTACCTGCGTGTTTGTCTCTCTCTCTCTATTCATTTATCTATATCGGTCTGTTCATATCTATCTGTCTCTCTGCCTGTCTGTTTCCACTATATATCTATGTTTGGTCAATCTATCTATCTATCTATCTATCTATCTATCTATCTATCTATTTCTGTATGTAATAATGTTCGAAAATTCGGCTGTTACGAATCTATTAGAGGAAAAATTGTGTCAAAATCGAAGAAAAGTAATAATCTTCAAACACAGCTCTACAAATATAAATAATTTTATTATTGAGTAGAAAAGTAGACTTTGTATTCTTTTAAGCTGAAAATCTACTATTTACATTATATTATATGTGTACAGATACAGGTAGGATTTTTCTATGCGTCGCCTTTTCATTTTTGTAAGGTACACTGTGAAAACTGGTTTATAAAAGTACTTTAAAAGCGTGAAATAGTTGACAAAAACGAAGTTTAGTTGTAAATAAGTTAATTTGAATTAGAGATAATTTGAGTAATAAGTATTGTTTACAATCTCCAGTCGAAGTTATACTGAAGACTAATTTACATTAAGCTGTTTGCAAGAAAAACATCGGATCACAGGAAGTTAAAATTTAGATTTAGTAAACTCAGAAATTATATTGGTTAATAAATATATTTCCAAAGTTTTTAATATCGATTTTTAGGAAGGAAAAGATTCTTAATCATTTTTGGATGCAAGTTTTCATAGCTTTAGCAGAAGAAAAGATATCGTTGATTGGCTTTTCAAAGCTTGAATTGCGTTTGAGACAAAAAAGAAAACGATAAATAATAAATGCTAATGTTGGAATTTGAATTTGAACGTTCGTTGCTGGTCCTTCTTTTACAGAGCATTGAGATCTTAGTGATACTATTTAAATATATTGATTTTTTTCCTACTATTTTTAAATTTTTTAAAATTTTGAAAATTGGAACACGTTCATAAAAGTAGATTTATTTCGAGATATATGCGATAATGGATTTCAACATTTATGGTTTCAGCCGATTCGATAGCGAAAAAATGAAATGCGTAAATGCGTATTTGTATACGTTTAAATAATGAAATCATTTCCTGAACGTTTTCCAATTGTCATATATATATATATATATATATATATATATATATATATATATATATATATATATATATTTATTCGTGCCACAAATTGAAGTTGTGATGAAACAGGATGATAAAAAACATTTTTCCTTGATCAAACAGAACATTCGTCTGATGGAAGATATATTCTTTTAACACTCAGCGAAAATGCATGTTTTTGTTTCCTTATCGTTTATACTTTTTAAAGACTTATTTGGATGCTAAGCGAGAAGCCTGTATTTCATGCCCCTCTTCACCTACAGTCAGTCTAATCATGAGGAACAGTGAATCCACGTTAGTAATTTTTTTGGATGTGAGCCTCCATTATTTTAGCATACGACAAGAAGCAGCGTTTGAAACAACCTCGTTGATTGGTTAATAAATGCTAATATGGGGAATTTGAATTTGATGCTCGTGTGATGCTATTTTGCACAGAATTGAGATCTTAGTATTTAAATCTGTTGAATTTCTTCTTAAACTTTTAACTGGATTCTACATATATTCTTTCCCGTCTCTATCTCGGCTATCTCTGTTTCTTTTCTCTTTATCCTTCTCGGTATGTTCATATCTATTCATCTATCTATCTATCTATCTATCTATCTATCTATCTATCTATCTATCTCAGTGTGTTGATATCTATGTATCTTGTGATATATATATATATATATATATATATATATATATATATATATATATATATATAATCTCTATAAAATTTATCGGTCTATCTACGTATCAGCCTGATCATATTTGTTCTCTTCTGTACGTATAGAAATACCTGACTCTTCCAGTTAACATTTCTATCCATAAATATACTTATCTATTTTTCAAAATTTCTAATATCGCTTTAATTTCATAGGTCACTTAACTAGATGCTCCTGTTGAAAAGAAATCCCGTGATAAGTGGTTATAAAAGTGATTTCCTCTTAGTTGCTACGTAACAAATGCTTCCAGATGTCCTTGGGCACATCTAATAAATGATAAAAATTTAATATATACGAAAGTATTTGTCAGCCTCAAAAAGGACACTAACTTTAAGAATTAACCGAACATAGACACACATACACATACCTCCTAAGAAGAAATAATATCAGACGGGATATGAGGGTACTTGATTGGTTCCCAATGAGTAGGAAACGGAGATATAAACAAAACAAAAGCACCTCTCGCCTGTGGGATTCCCTTCCCTATTACTGTTTCCCTGAGAGCGATAATCTCCAACTATTCAAATGTAATGTCAATCAACATCTCCAGTTAC